GTTGGTGCTAAACAAATATTTGTTGAATTACTGATGGTCTCAGAAGTCAATGAAACCTAATCTTGTGTTTATTTCACTTTAAAAATTCTACTAGAGCCTTAGGCGGCACTAGAAAAAAAGCCTAGATTGTGGGAAGATAAAAGTAAAAAAGAAACCTCACAAAATTATGTACATCTTCCCTTTGGAGATTTTTTGAAGTACTAAGTGAAATTTTATATATTTCATAAGATTTTTAAATACTCCAAAACAAGAAGTTGGTGCCAGTAATACACTTGGAAATGAGAGCAGCTTGCCACTGGCAAGCTCTGCTTAAACCTGTTACATGTACACATTGAAAGTGAATCCAACTCCTTTATGTATTTCCCATCAGATAAAATGTATAGAGGGGGAAAAATAAGCAAAAGTTAGAACTAACCTGGACAAATCGACTGTAGCAAACTCAGGAAGTAACTAGCTCGAAGGAATACATGGTGAAATAGGAATCATTTTTCTCCAGTTCTATCTACTTTAGACTTTATTAACTCCATCCTTAGGAACAAAGAGGGAATTTTGGTGGGAATTAGGATGGGAAAAGCTGGAATCGGTTAGGAAGATGTATATTTAAGTATTTGCTCTTTGAAGGCATTTAATGAAGTTGTTTTTTTTTTCTTTTTCTCTTTTTTAAGAAAAACCTGAATCAACTGTCTTAATTTTTATGTATTTTTTAAGTAAGTGTAAGCAAATGGTGCCCAAAATAAGTGATTTTGTACCTGTTCTCTTCATTTATACCAGTAGGCCTGTCTAGAAATTATGACTAAGTTATATTGACCTTGAATCATTCAAATACTGGCCAAAAAAAGAAAGAAAGAAAGAAAGAAGAGAAAAAAAAGAGAGAGAGAAACCAATATCCACACAATTACACATGGATCCTTTTATCTCAATGGTCAGTGTTGCTGTAAGTGGTGGATAAGAGTAATTGGCTGAACATTTCCCAAGAAAATGACCTCAACCTCTAACTAACTGCCGTGGCTCGAGGAGATTACTTTTTCCCTTTTCAAAGGGAAGCTGCTGCTTCAGCATCTTCTCCGGGAGCCCCTGGCAACAGTCCAGGCCATGTGTCAGGGGAATCCTTGATCGCATCACAATGACGGAAGCCAAGCGCTGGCCTGCGAGAATTGAGGACTGTTTGTTCGCCCAAGATCCTGAGCAGAAACAGGGGCGTTACATAGTTGGAGGGTGCCTCGACAAAACCCGACCCTGCTGTAGGAGGGGACTTCCAAAGGCTCACGTTATTTCTCATTTGCTGTTCCACAGCCCTCTCCTAGCTTTTATGGGATTTACCTAGCAGTTGTTGCTTAGGCATTTTTCTCCCTTGTAATTCCTTGACTTAGCAAGATTTTCAACCAGTTGAAAAAAAAAAAAAAAAAAGAGATTTGTATACTATTTTCAAGTAGGGCCACAGTGAATACTCTCTGGGGAGAAAGCATTTTATTAATGATTGCTGTACGTGTTCTTGGTAAAATCCAAAATTAAACTAGGTCGCTGTTTTTATCCTGGTAGCCATCAATGACATTTAGGTGTGCTGTTTGGTGTAGTGACTCAATTTCCTGTAGGAAAGCTGGCAAGTCCACCCTGAGGTTTTTTTAGTGGGGATGAAAAGGTCAGTTACTCGATGTCTTAGAGCATTTAGGGTTAAAATTCCTAAAAGTTAAACTTTAATAATGATCCTAAAAAACTGTGGCCAGCCATACTGCCTATAAACCTCAGAATTTGGGAAAAATAGTATTCTCAGTTCTATACTAATATCAGCAATAATTCTTTATTTGAACAACAGTTTTATAGAACAAATTTCTTTACTCTGTCAGTAAATATTTTCTTGCTTATTGGTACGTAGATGTGTTTGGGTCCCTGTTTTTCCATTCTCCAGATTTGTACAATACATGTAGAGGTAGTTAGAACTTAAAATACATGGGTGTACCACATTATTATTGTAGGCAAATGCTGATTGTTAAAATGGGTAATCTATGATTTGGATACAAAGTAGATCTTCTGAAATAAGTTGTCCTTCTTGTTGCTATACTGCCTTCTTAAAGACAAGTCCTGTATTTAAATATATAATGTCGTAAAGCATTGAAACGTTCCTGAATTTCTACCGCTTTTACAATTAAGAAGTAAATACTGGAATATAATATGTAGTGCCACATCCAGATAAGTCCAAGGCCTGTATTTCTGAAAAGTTTGAGAAGTTGGTGAAGATGGGGAGATTACTTATACTGGGGAGCTCCCTTTGGGGCTAAGACTTTAAAGGCTTGAAATGCAGGGAGAGGTACATGGAAAGCCAAGCCTTCGAGGTATGAAGAAGAGATTCCTGGCTTCTGTATGTACCCAGTGACTGGAAAGATGGCAGTGAACACATCCTAGGCACAATGGTTTTGCATCTATAACCTACTAGATGTGCTTGCTACTGACAACTTAAATAACCCAAAACAAGTTAATTTCCTCTTAAAGTGTCCTGCATCCTTATTTTATACAGTAGAGGGAAAAAAGCAAAAAGAAAACAAAACCATACAGTAAATGTACTATCGTCTCAACCAGGTTACTCTGTACTTACATATGGAAGGTATTGGGTAAAATGAAAATGTGTTATGATCATAGGCTTAATTATTGTTTGCAATCCTTAGTGTATTGGATTACAAGGGACTTTCTACATTACATCATTGTGTAATGTTTCCATTTTTAAAAGAATCAGACTATATTTTTATATTCTTATAATCAGGGCAAGGCTATGCAGATAAAACATTTTATACTTATTATCTTAAATTATCTTTAAGGTTGTTACTTTGGCGGGGGGGGGGGGGGGGGGGCCCAATCTTACTCTTTAATTTACCTGGCAAGGTTTGACAGCTGTTGGTTCACCTAGAGTATATATTTACAGAGATTGCTGCAGAAAAGAAAAAGGAATAAAAGTGGCAGATTTAAACATAGAGTCCCCAAAATGAATACCAAACAGTTCAAGAATCCTTGATAACAATGAGTCATGTGGCTCATGTAACAAATACTTTGAAAGTTATTCTAACTTTTACAAATTTTATGTAAAAACCTATCTGGTAAATCCCTGGGAACCTGAGATTCAGTCTGTGAAATTCTTTGTTGTGCCACTGATCATTTATGGAGTCTAAATTTCAAGGGTAGTGTTTCTTCTCCTCCAATACCTGTAGATTTGAAGACAAAAGGGATCTCTCAACTTCATGTAAGCTTTTCAATGTATTCTTTTTAAATGACAATAACCAAGTTTTATAAGATGGGACTCTTCAGAGTTTGGATTATTTTCCTCTCCGAAAGTTTTGTTCATCCACTTGCTAATGTAGTGAAGTTCTTGCAGTTGATCCTTTTATGTAGAGTGCCCGTGGTCCCCAGGGTCAGCTTTTGTAAATGGAACCAGCGTCCGTACCATGCCTTTGGATATTGTCTTTTCATTTTCTCACGTTCGTAGTTTATTCTGCATATGGTGGGCAGAAACACCCTTCCAGACTTTTTCCTTTGGCATCACAGGACCATCGTGGTCTCTGATTTGCAATTCCACAGACGAAGGAAGCACGTATGTAGGACATGTGTCAAGTGCCTATCCTACGTGGTGCATTCACATTGCTGCTCCTTTAAGAGAACTCTTAGGCAATCCCGAATGTGAAAATACAGCATATTGTCAAATCTGTAAATTCAAAAGCCTTCAATGTTGTTTTTGTTTGCTTCCATGTTTCCAACATTTAGAAATCTGGTACTTAGCAGACGCCGGGTTGGGTACTACTGAAAGAGTCTGGTTTTAACAGAAACAATTCTATTCCCACAACCGCCCTGTCCCCTTGAAGTAGGTAAATCCTAAGCCCTCAGAAACGAAGCCTCAAAAGCCCTAACACCCGAACCCACAGAAACGGTTGCTCAGGTCCTGAATAACGTGTTTGCGCCGCCCGTCTGGCTCTCCTGCGAAACCCCGCGGGGTGCAACGGACGGTGAAGACGCTGAGACTTAGGCAGTCGGGGCGACCGGGAGGGGCGCGCTGGGTCCCCGCGGGGCAGGTGCGCGGCCGCGCGCGCGCGTGCGCGCCCGGTCCCGCCTGAGCCCCACGGCGGGCGTGACCCCGGGTGGCGGGCGCTCCACGCCGGGTTTTGGGCCGCTCTCCTCGCGCAGCCCCACGGCAGCCCCACAGATACACGCGATCGCGCCCGCGCCTCCCGGGCTCGGCTTCAAAGCGAGCGGCACGGGGCAGCGCGGGGTGATGCCCCGGCGAGGCGGTGGGGCGGTCGGGGCTGGGGCTTCGGGGAAGGCGGCGGCGGGGGGCGCGGGGGGCGCGGGCGGGCCTTGGCAGTTGGCAGGCGCCTTGTAAAGGAGCTGAGGAGGGGCCAGGCTGCGGCGAGGGGCGTGAGGGGGAGTGTTCCCGGAAAGCCGCGGCGATGGAGCCGCGCTGCGCCGGGCGCCGGAGGAGTTGAGAAAGAAAACAGGAAACGTGGTGGCCGCGCACCCGGCCGCGGCTGATTCATTCGCGTCGTGAGAAGGCTCGGCAGGCGGCAAGCGGAGCGGGCGCGGGGACGCGGCTCGGCCCCGCCGGCGACGAAATTAGGCCGTGGACCAGGCGCTCCGTCCGCGGGGTTCGCCCCGAGGCGCGCGCTGCCCTCTTCGCCCGCCTCCCGGGCTGGCCCTGGGGACCGCCACACCGTCGAAAAGTCGCACCGTGGGGTTTTTGTCTGTGTCTCCGTATAAAAGTTGGCTTGCCGCACTTTGTGCGCCCTCCCTGGACGCGGAACTGAGACGCCAAGCTGGAGAAACCGTGCTACCCCGAGGCCGGCCGCCCCGCTAGCTGAGCCCCCAGCGCCGTGCCGGGCTCGGCACTATGAAGGAGCAGCCCTCATGTGCGGGCACCGGGCATCCGAGCATGGCGGGGTATGGCAGGATGGCCCCCTTTGAACTCGTTGGCGGCACCGTGAAGCGCTTGAGAACTGAGTCCCCCTTTCCCTATCTGTTCGCAGAGGAGGCCTACCAGAAACTGGCCAGCGAGACCCTGGAGGAGCTGGACTGGTGTCTGGACCAGCTAGAGACCCTGCAGACCAGGCACTCCGTCAGTGAGATGGCCTCCAACAAGGTAAGCCCTGGCTCTGCCTGTCACCAGCGCCCCTAGACTGCTGATTCCCACGCTGCCAGCCCCGGTGGCCCTGAGAAACACATACAGATTGTGTCACACTGCATGTTGGCTCTTTTACTCCCTTGGAGGGAGATTCCTGATTCTGTGCCTTCCCTGTCTCTTATATTCACTCCAGATAAATTAGACATTTTGCAAAAATAACTTTGACATAGATTGATTACAGCACCCCCCGAGCCACAGTGAGTGGGGATTTTTTTTTTTTCTTTTTCTTTGAGATGGGGGAGTGGGCTTGTCAGTGACACTTTGCCCTTGCAGCAGAAACCCAGGCGGGGCGTGGGCATTGCATGCTTAAGGGTATTCTTGGGATTCCCAGTTGGAAATAAGAGTTGGTGGAGGTCAGTGCAATCTCTTGGATGTCACCACATACCGCACTCATGCTCAGTAGAGCTCACTGAACTTGGAACCTTGACTCTTATTTATCTAGATGTTAGGGTACATTGTAAGAACTGAGCCTTTTTATGTTCACTTAGCCTTATGTGTCCACAGGAAATATCAAGAAAGTTAGAAAGTTCATTATGATCATACCTTTGTTTTCGTGAATCTTGGAGAGAAGTCCAGTTTTCCGAGGTCATTTAGTATGTTTCAGTGGGTCATTTGTGCCATATATGCTGAAGTGCTGGCCTTGGTGGTCGGTGGAGTTTTGGGGGACTGAGAAGTAACCTTCAGCCTCAAATAGACTTAAAGCAAGGTATAGTGTTGTCTGTTGTCTATAGTGTTGTCTGTAGTGTTACTGTATTTTTTGGAATTTCTGTTCTTTTTGTCTTTAGTTATGTAAGGAAATAATTGGGATTATGTATGTTTTTAATGAATGTTGGGCTGAGAAGATTGGGAAAGAGGCACATTCATGTTGGATGCAGATCACTGGGGGATTCAACCAGTAAAAACTGGTAACTGTGTGGCAGTTCCTTAACAGTTGCCTCTTAAAGACATTTAAATATTGTGGCCACCTATTTACAAGGTCAGGAAGGTTATACCATTTTACAGTTTATCTGTGTGCACATATTTTTAAAATGTGTGATGCTTTTTCTTGGCTTATTATAGTTTTTATCCCACCCATTTCCCCCCACCCTCAACAATCAGTTTTCTAAAATACCATAGCATATCAGCCACTTGATTGTCTTATCTGTTGACAGTGCTTACATAGATTGCATTGTTTTTGAAGTGAGAAGTTAGCTTCAAATAGAATAAAAGGGACTCCTCACACACTGTCTACAGGCACTAACTTACCCATAAGTACACCAACCTAACCCAAATGCACACTTGGGATCAGATCTCGGTTTTTTGTTTGTTTCGTTTTTCTGGTTTTTGTCATTTCGGCCTCATTTTGAAATTTGGTATGGCTCCTTATCAAAATAATTCATCATTGGGCTCTCACTTCCTGCTGTGCCATCAGGTGCCATTGTTTTCATCTGGCTAGCAAAGTCTTAGTTCATTGATTAATTTCATAAAATAGTAATTTTTTAAAATAATTTGATTGATAATAGCAGTAGGCTGTGCTGAGTTTCTTCAATGTACTGCGTGCTGAATGGGACCATTCTGCAGTGGGATTGTGTTCTTAATTTTCTTGTCTGGTTAACACTGTGTAAAAAAGAAGAGCAGAATCAGAAGGCACCTAAAGGGATATGTTCACATTTCAAGATGATCTGACAGTAGTTGTTCAGAGAAAAGAACCTAAGCAGCTATAATTACTTTCTCCAGAAATCCATACTCTTAATGATAAGACCTATGTTTGAATTTAAAAATTAATATGAAATCTAATAATGTATCCTAAATGATGTTAACTGTCAAGCAATTGGTTTATACTTCAAGATTTTAAAAAAATAAAGCTTTAGGTCACAGTAATTGATCAAAATGATTTCTTTCTTTAATGGCACCAAATAAGACAGGATTTTTTAAAAATCTCCATTGTGAAGGCACCCAATTAAACTGAGTTAATTTACAGATTTAGTAGAGAAGGTGCATTTATTTGGTTGAAGAGAAATGTAGGTTAAGTGAGAAAAGACTTTTTAAAAAGATAGTGATTCTAGCTGTTTGTGTCTTGTGGTTGAAAGATTATCGACAGGACACTTATTTTTAACATTAAAAAAACCCAACTTGGCTGAAGCTGTTGCTTAAACTTCTAATTTCTAAGCTACCCATTTCCTTTTTTTTAACCCATTCATTTTTACAAGAATGCTAAACTCCTGTAACTTTTTATAGGTGAAATTTTAGGATTAGCATAGAAGGAAAAGAAAGCTCTTCTGCTTTCATAATGAGGTCGCATAAGCTGTAAACTGAGTGGGAGCAGCTGATCTGAAGGTCCTCATGAGTGATGCCCAACCTAAGTCTGAACTAGAATTATGACGACTTGCAACACATCTTTGAGGATGAATGAATACCTCTGAAACATTGCTTTCTGGTTATGTTTTATTGCTGTCCATTATTTTTACATGTACTTGTTTGAACCAGCCAATATTTTCAGGTTATTCTCTTTCTACCTTTGAAAAATCATAACATCTTTATGTGTTCTTCTCACTTGAGTTTTTTTTTTTAATTTAATAGTATAATGTAACATAATAAAAATACTACTAAGGTCATGATTTTTAAGTGATTATGGAGAAGAAATAATTATTAGGGATATAGATTTGGGTATTAGGAAGAGGGAAATTGATTCCTTCAACCCATTTAACCATTTGTGTTAATAGATTATTTGTGTTTTTGAAAATCTTAATTAAAGGAATCCAAATTATTAGCAGTTGTAAAATGATGCTTTAGAAGTAACTACCTATATTTCCTGACTGACATTATAGTGTGCATAATACTTATTGATGCTACTAAGGCAGGAAAATTATAGAATTCTTGGACAAAGCCAACATGGACTGTAATATATGTAGGATGCTTTTACCAAGTAGGGTAAGAGACTCCAGATGGCATTTAATTTGAGTGATTAAATCTACAGCACTTACCCTCATAAGCACATTAATCTCCCTGAGATTTGTACAGATTTCCTTTAGAACCTTATTGCTACAGTTGAAGGAAGTTTTGGTAAGGTTTCAAAGCTTTGCAAGTAGGCAGACCTGGAAGTTAAATCTTGGTTTTGTTCCTTGGTTGCTGAGTTACATTAGAAAAATGAAGTCAGGGCACCTGGATGGATCAATGGGTTAAAGCCTCTGCCTTCAGCTCTGGTCATGGTCCCAGGGTCCTGGGATCGAGCCCCACATCGGGCTCTTTGCTCGGCGGGGAGCCTGCTTCCCCCTCTCTCTCTGCCTGCTTCTCTGCCTACTTGTGATCTCTGTCAATTAAATACATAAAATCTTGAAAAAGAAAAAGAAAAATGAATTCAGCTTTTTAAGCTTTAGTTTCCTTAGCATAAGATGAGCACAATAATACCCATTTTGAAAGATCAATGTAAGAGTTTGAAAGAATATATATAAAGAGGTATCTAATAAAAAATTGTGATAGTAAGCATTATACCTGGTGTTACTGGTATAATGGAGATTTAGGTCAAACTTCATTGATAGTCTTCTTGGATAACATACTTTTTTTTTTTTAACCATTCAGTTGTAATTTTTGCTTGACTTTTTATGTTTCATCGGTTGTTACAATGCAGTCCTTAGATAACGGTCTTTAGTATACATCTCTATATTATGAAAAAAAAAGCTTATTATTTACACAATTTTTGGTATAGTACAGATAGAAACATTTTGAACTTCCAATTAGTTTAAACTTTTCTTAAATTCCAGTGACAGAATTCTAGACAGAGGTGCTAAATACTTTCTGTGTTTTATTCTAAAAGTGAAAACACAGCACTTATTAATTCTTGGAATATGCTCAACATAGTATGGGATTGTTTAGGACATCTTCATTCTTTTGTACAGAATTTACAAAGCTAAAATACCTTTTTAAACTGTTTTTAATGTAAAGTAGTTTCACAGTGTTTTTGGTTACCTTCTCTCAAAGAAAGTAAGTTGAGGATGTGAGGTGGGCAGGCCAGGAGTTGAAGCCTCGGGACTTTAAAAAATTATGCCTTGGAGAGGTGCCTGCATAGCTCAGTCAGTTGGCTCAGGATTTTGGCTCAGGTCATGATGTCATGATTGTGAGATCAAGCTGCACTGGGCTCCACAATCAGCAGAGAGTCTGCTTAAGGTTCTCTCTCTCCCTCTGCCCCTCCCTGCCTCTAAAATAAGTAAATAAATCTTTAAAAAGAAAAAAAAAAAAAAAAAAAAAAAAAGATTCTGCTGTGGAGCCCTGTCACTTTATCCTCTTGTGACCTAATAACACATATTTCACCAGGCCTTCAGAGTGAGTGCAGTGATTTTTAAAGAGAAAACAAAATCATTTTGATTTTTTCCTAAAATATACCACTATAAAAATATGTTTTGTTTCTCTCTAATCTGGGGGCACTTTCGAGGCTTTCATTGCTGGAAACTGCCATGCTTCAAGTGGCAACTCTCTTGAAGTTAGGATTCAAGCATCGTTCCAAGAGACTTCAGGCTTTTCTTTAGTTAATGCTAGCTACACATCAGCCAACCTAACAGATGTGGTTGTGACTTTTTTATGGAATTTATTTTGTCTGTTGACTTATTAACCAACATCTCTATCATGTTTTTGTTACCTATAAATTAATTGCTCTTCTGGGTGCTTGTTCTTCGTTCTTCCCCCTCTGCTCCCCCTGGTGCTCTTGAATAGTCAGTGCATCCATAAAGTAATACTAGAGCTTTCTGTGACTGCTCATACTGTTTCTTCTGGACAAGACAGGTGCTGGAATGAATAGACAATGTTCATAGGAGTGATTAAATCATAAAATATTTCAGCATTACAAGGCTGTAACTCTCAGAATGGAAATAACTGCTTAACAAAGAAAGCTAAGAAAGAAGCTGTAGTTGGAAAAGCCTTTTAATTTTATGGAAAACAAATTGCAAATAACCCTTATTTTCTGCATTAAAATATTAAAACTTACT